TTCGAATATATGTCTATATCGGTGTCCGTACGTGTACGAAAGTAACGTACAAATAGAATGTTTACATACTTATGAGACAGCAATACAAGCTTGTATCCATATGCATATGAACAAAAATTCAACATGAATCAATATACACGTACCTCAATACATGATATTGTATTTGCAACAATACATACTCCTTGAAAACATGTCCCGTACAAAGGTGACCCTAAATATTGATTGGCAGTGCGCGTACGTGTGACCCCCATGCCAAACTAGTAACAAACTACCACCACGAAAGAAATATCGTTCAAACAATTTTATTTCAGGTGCACATGGTTTAACTAAGCATCTACTCATGCGTGCAAACAAGTTTACTTCAGGTGCACATGGTTTGACTAAACATCTACTCATGATTTGCGATCACTAAACACAATGGCTTCCTTACGTGCTGTAGTCGTATGACGTGACCCGTCCTGGTTGTAAAAGAATAGTACTAACAGGAGATGGCGTACTTGAGGTAACGCAAAGGGACAGTGACGAAGTCTGTGTATACTATCAGAGGCATATATGAGAAGGGAAGTAGTTCTGATGTTATTTATTTGAATACTTGCAACAACAGAACCTTCGAATGGATAGCCTACGAAAAAGCATACTTGCCCAGACCATTGTGATAGATTCCCGCACACGGCATGACTGATGTGATCGATACATAGACGCGGGCATAAAAGAAAAGGATGTAAGGCAACCCCCTCAGACATCGGACATGGGACATGAACTTTTCAAATTTGTATGTGTATATGGTGTTATAGGCATATTTACATATTAAACAGTATAGCTTCTATCGAGCAGAAAGGCTTTAATAGGCTACAGGACGATTAAACACGATTCAGTATGTTAAAAGTATGTGCAGTTGTGCACACATTGGGGCCATCTAACAGCTCATATCGAGCAAAAAGTTCCGGAACTTTACGCCATGTCAGGGCGTAAATACATATAGTTGTCTGATATGACTCATCGCCCTCTGTATGCACACACGTCTGTAGCCTGTAAATGTGTAAATACACTGTAGAACGACGGCGGAAGACGGGAAGAGTCGACGCCTTAATCCGTTGAGTCGTTGACGAGGTACAATCTAGTTCAACGCAAACGCTTTATGATTTGAATTGTATACGCTTAAAGTCAGAAGGTTGCGAGAAAAAACTGGACCTAGTGTGTGAGTTTAGCGGACACCCTCAATGAAACCTCTGGTAACTTTCAATCTGCAAGCTCCGAACATGCACCCGGTTCGATACTCGCGGGGCCATTCGAACTCGTTTATTTGCTCGAAGTTTATACGCTTTAGTACAAACCGTATTTAGGTTAGCAACCTCGACCAACGACTAACGAGTGCTGAGTCATGAGCACTGACGGCTGAAAAAGCGTGGCCTCATTTACCAAAAATCATATGATTTCCGGTCCCAAAAAAAATGAACTTTGGAAATTGAAACCTTCCCATTCGTGCGCCGGCGTGGCCATCATGATGGGACTGGCGGCTGGCCAAATACATCTACACATACTATATAGGTCGAAGATTTGTATTGAAGTTTGGTAGTTCACTTATTTGAGGTTTGAATTCGCATCGTATTCGTTCACACAACTTGTAATAGTCCATATAAAGAAAACAAGATGGCACGTCAACGTAGAGCAGCTCCAGCGGCGCGTAAAGCCCCCGCGCCCGCCACGCCTGCTGGCAGAGCCCCTACAGCAGCCACCTCTTCTGGTAGGTGCTTGTTTCGAGGATATTTGCTTTCTATTGTGTTCCAGTTATGTTCCATCGTGCTTGTATTAGTCTATACATGTATATGTGTATTCGATTATATATATTCATACACAAACACACACTCATATATATATCTATATATATATATATATATATATATATATATATATATATATATATATATATATATATTATTATTATTATTATTAGTATATATATATATATATATATATATTATATTATTATA